CAACCACTCTTTATAGTAATATTTCATTTATCCATCTTATAAAGAACCAGCTGTTCCTAAGAGTTTGAGATAAGTAAAATTTATTCCTAAAATACCAACATTTCTGAAAATAGGATATCCACATCTCTGTTTTTAAAGAAAACACATATTTCTTGACGTAAATTAATCCTAATTATTTCACCCTGGGACTACTGAAATGTATAGGAATAGCTGGGTATTTGGGTCTAAATTAAGTGGTCTTGTGCAGCTGCACTTTCAGAGTTCCTCTATTAATGACTTATAGTTTTTATAGCTTGTCCCTGCTTTCATTTAGTATGCTGTCACTTCTTACTGGAGCTTTGACTTCTTGAAGCAATAAGCACCCTCTTTTTAACTGCTATTAGAGTTGACTGTGGGTTTGGGAAACTAGGCATCTAAGTTTGTTAGAAGTGATTTTTTTAAAAAAGTGAACTGTTTGTGGATGAGGGACTGAAGAAGTAATGAGGTGGGAGGAAAGAATTAAACAATAATTTGAATAGTCTGGGCAGAGGTGGTTTTCCTTGCAGGATACGAGCTGTGTGTTAGCCAAGATTGCTGCTCCAGAGACCTCTGGTTGAATAAACCACTCATGCTAGTTTTCTGTTTACTCACAGGCTAACTCATCGAGCGCATTCACACATAGCTGTTTTTGACACACAGGAGTTAGTCTACATTTCAGTTGGTATATGCTTACATATGTAGAAAAATTACCAAAATAACAGTAGTCACCAAAAGAAAAATGAAAAATCCACTTTACTCACGTGGGGCTTTTTCAATTAGCAATAATGTGCCTTGCATAAACCTCCTTGGCTAATATACTGCCCCTGTGCAAAGCTACGCGGGGCTTTTTAACAATGTTTATTCTCAAGTGTGTCCACTGATTTATGTCTTTATATGTAGAGAAATTATTAACATAACAAGTCACTAAAAGAATATGAGAAGCCCCTTTCATAAAATACAGAAACTATAATAGTGACAACCTGTTAAAGACTCACTTTTAATGATGGACTATATATTCATTCATACAGACTAAATGTATTTAGGAACTTACTCAACTTTGCAGATGTTAAAAACCAATATAGACTTAAACAAAATTTTTCTAACCTTCTCCTTCCAAGCACTTTCGTATTTTATAAATATATGTTTAACAAATAAACCTAGATGTCCCCCTGAGCACACAATTCTAATAAATTCTAACAAAAAGAAGACATCTTTGGGCCAGCCCGTGGCTCACTCGGTAGAGTGCGGTGCTGATAACACCAAGGCCGCGGGTTCGGATCCCATATAGGGATGGCCAGTTTGCTCACTGGCTGAGCATGGTGCTGACAACACCAAGCCAAGGGTTGAGATCCCCTTACCAGTCATCTTTAAAAAAAAAAAAAAAAAAAAAGAAGAAGACATCTTTTATGTGCACAGCAATATTTTCTTCAGGCCAAGAATACATAACACATGGTAATTTGCACGGCTTTAATAAAAGTATCCTAATTATAGCCTATTCTAACTTACCTCTGACTTATCCAAAGGAAAAATTCAACTCCAAGCTGACTTTCTATAACCTGGAAGGCCTCTGGCCCTGAAACCTTTCCTGGTAGTTATAATGGTGCATTTTCAGAAACTAGAAGCTATGTTTGTTTATTTATTTTTGTGGCTGGCTAGTACAGAACAAGCTATATTTATTATGTTTATTAAAATAACAGAGGAAAGAATATAATGCATAAAATACAATCAGATTATTTGTTACTTTGGATTACTGTCCCTTTTATTATGACAGATAAATGGGAATTAGTTTTGGTCAAGGCTTTTTGTAAAGTCTTTTTTTTTAATTATAAGAATTCCTGAAAACACTCTTTTAAAGATGGACATTCAATGAACCAGCAATATTTCATACTGTAAAATATTTCCTAAGACTCATTCTAGGTGCACATTTTACTCTGAGCTTTATTTGCTTTTTGTAACAACAGCATTTAAGAGAAAATAAACTGATCATCTGCAACCTAAACAATGGCTTTGGGGTATGATTAAGAAATGCACCTGGCCTCACTCAAACAACACGTTTGTTTAACCTGGTGACTTTCCTGTGTCTGGGGTCAGGCAGGAGCAATCTTGGTTGCGGGGAGGACAAAGGAACAAATATAACTCACAGAGAACAAAATGGTCATACTAACTACCCTTTGTAATTACAACTGTTTTAACAGTTTCTAGTAGGCAAGGCTATCATTTAAGTGACCCACTATAATTTGGGATGAAACCCCAGGAAATTATGCCAACTTTAGAACAGGAGTTGCATTTCTGAGTTTACTCAGCATAAGAAACCCACTGAAATGCTGAGTATTCCTTCTTTGGCATAAATTTAAGTCAAAGGAAAAATTAACACTGAAAGGAATTTAGCTAGAGAGGAGAAGAATATCACAGCACTCACTTCTAGAAGCACGCCATAGTTTATTTTACTTTTCCATCTTTTTTATTATGGAAAATTTCAATCATATAGAAAAATATACAGAATAGAATAATGAACCCCCACAAACCCATCATTCAGTTTCAATAAGCATTAACACACGGTCAATCTTATTTTATTGCACCCTATCCATTCCCTTCTTTGAATTTTTTAAAGCAAACCCCAGACAGCTAATGTTTTATGTATATATGCTTTCATTTACAATATATGTATTTATTTTCCTAAAGATCACTCCAGAAATCTCACTGAGCACGAGATGTTTAAAACATATTTAAGCACATCTTGTAAAATGTTTTACACTAAAACTTATCTGCCTAGAAAACTAATTTACTTGAATACAATAGGGTAATTAAAATGACAAAGTAACTTGAAACACAACCCTCTATTATTTTATTTATATGGAAAAACAATGTTCTAAGGTTGAGAAAATAGTGAATGTCACTTTAATCCTATGGTTCTAGTCTTTATGGACATTCTAATCTACAAGAGACAAGTTTAAAAGTAACATGGTTAGATTTGCCTGGATGGATTCTGAAAAACTGGGAGGAGGCTACTAAGGGGGGCAGGAGCTGCTCAGAACAAAACTTTCCCCTTTTCCTTCACTACACACATACAGAATAAAACAGAATGCCAACGGGCCAAACCTTAGGAGCTTCAAAAATCACTCATCAAGCAGTCTAGCTACTTACAATAATTTACTACCCATCTTAAAGCAAAGATCAAAAGGAACTCCATCTAGCATTTATGTTCAATTTCTCATTGCCTGATGACTAATTTGTAGAGGAATGAAGTCTTCACAAGGGAAGCCAAAATAATCTGAGGTGACTTTGATACAATGCCACAAAGAATATGAAGAGGAAGCTGGTAGAAGCTGCAAATGGCTAAGTTCCATTAAGAGTTCTAATAAAAGAATAATGGAATTTCCCTTAACTGTGAATTAAAAAATGTTACAAATGGGCAAAATTTAGACAAGTCTGGCAAAACCTTTTGTCATATACCTTTTGTCATGTTGTTAAATGTTAACTTTAGCCACTGTTGCACTTCTGTTAATGAAATGGCTTCATCCAAAAAAAAAAAAAAAAAAAAAAAAAAAAAAAAAAAAGCAACATTCCCATCAGAAATCTGGCTAATCTAATTCCTTTTGCTGTTGTATTACTTATCAGCCTGTACCTTCTGTCCGCATTGTCAGACACTACTGGTTCTTTCAATCTCTTCCAAACAAATTGCCTTATTCTGCAAAGTGATTGATTTAGCTTGAAAAATGTAACTTGAAATGATATAATTTTTAGTATTGTATATCACCATGGTCACATGGAACATAAACACCTCTTTTATAAATTTTTGGTGCTTAAGTAAATTGGTCACTATGGAAACACTAGAAGCTATTCAAATTCTTTCAACTGCTATGAACAACTGGCACAATTTTTCCTCCTCAATCCAGACATCTCTGTATTCTCAACTGAGGAAAGGAGTTTTCACACTACTTATTTTGGCTAGTTAAAAAATCCCCACCACATGTCTCACTATAAATTCATAGATAAGGATTTAAGTTTATATTAGCATTTCAACTGTGCAAATTTTTGTTTGCTTCTGAAATCACCTCGAATTAACAGATTTACTGGAACCTTACATGGCATAGAAGTTTCACAAATCTTGTAATATATTTCCCCGTGAAGATGTGGTGTTAAGATTTTTCCTAAAAAACAACAATATGTGGGTTTTCTTTTTAAGTGTCCTTATCTTTAACAAATATATGGTGAGATACTTATAAGTGAAAGATATCAGAATTCTTCAGATATGGGTGGTGGAGAGTGTGGGGTATACATGAAACAAGACAGGCTATGAATCTGTAAAGCTGTGAGACAGGTACATGAGGGTCATTACGCTACTTGGTTTTCTGTGTAGCAAAACTCTTGACAGTGGATATTTCAGATATAATGCTATGCACTGCTTTTCATTAGGATTTTTATTTAGAAAAATAAGTTTCTATCAGTAGCAATGGAGAACCAAGTTTTGAGAGTCAATATTCTAACTGTCCTTACCACGACAAAAGCCAAGTTCACCCAATACAGTGTTTGGAAAGAAAAAAACCAAAAGCCAACCAAACAAAACACAACCCCAAATCTGTCTTTTTGTAGTATCTGAGATCTAGATTTTAATGTGAATAAAATATAATTATTTTAGTTCAGAAATACAAATGTTTTCTTTCTTTTTTCTTTTTTTTTTTTGTCCTTTTTGAGACTGGCCGCACCGCGCTTAGCCAGTGAGCGCTGTGAATGCACCGGTCACCCCTATATAGGATCCGAACCCGCGGCAAGAGCGCTCCTGCGCTCCCAGCGCCACACTCTCCCGAGTGCGCCACGGGCTCGGCCCCAAATGTTTTCTTTAAAAGGAATAAAAGTTGAAAAATTAAAACTGAAATATAAATGTAATTTGTAAGTGAATTTGAAATCACCATATATTAGTGAAAACTGTGCTATACACTCAACTTGTAATACCTAATATACTAGTAACATGCGTCTCTTACCTTGTGATCATATGGATTGTAAGAATGAAATACTCGAGAAAGATCTTTTGTCCTTTGCTTTTTCTGTGGAAGAAAACACAAACATTTGAGTTGACAGCTAGCAAAAAATATACATATGTGTATATATTTATAACTATCTATCTCTACGTAAAGATATTGTTGATTTAGAGACTCTTCCTTTGTGCAAACTGAGGGGACACATGGATGCGATTAGAAACCAAAGTCACTTGATAGTTATATGGGTCATTGTCACAGAGCAGCCAGGCAATCTTTTCCTAGAAAGCTGTGTAATTAAAACACTAATCATCATCAAAAACTCTATTTAGGAACACATAATTCAGAGACTAAAATGAAGAAAGCTGTGGAAAATAAAGACAGTGCAATCCACATTTAGGGCACTTTCAATTTCATTGTCACATCAACTGCTGTGACTCAGAGTTGGGACC